AAGTTTCCACCTCTCTAGGTGATGGGTAACGGAAAGAGCAGAAGGTACTACTGTGGAGAAGGAATGACTATTGTGAAAATTATTCTGAAGAGCTTGTATGAGTGCCGGATGGAGACAAAGACGAGAGGCAGAGAGACGTGGAGAGGTAGGGGGACAAATTAAAGGGAAGCGGGGAGAAGGCATGCAGGGGCAGAGCGAAGGAGAGAGAATGGGCTACATTTGGCAGCATTCAGCTTGTTGGAGGGAGCTGGGGAGGTTCCCCTGTTGCAAGCTAAGCAGCCACCCTCATGGTTGGGGCACCCCAACCATCTGGATTATAAGGTAGACATTTGCTTTCTTGGTATATTCAGTGACTTGCTATTTAAAAACCAGTCTTTTGAATGAGGTAGTTCAATCCTACTAGATTAAATCTACATAACTGTTTCCTATGATTGGATACACACACATACACACACACACACACACACACACACACACACACACACACAGTGTTCACATTTACTGTACTCTGTACTAGGAGGCCTGAAAAGCCTTGTATCCACCTAGAAATTTCTAGAGCCCTCCTTGGCCTTGCTCAAAAGTTGGCTTAGGTAATATTGGGTTTGGGTTTAAGAAACTAAAAGAAAAGGCTCTGTTCCCTTGACTATTTTATAGCCAGGAACCAGTGTAGCATGGTGTGCCTTGGGCTCCACCCTTTGTGAGTTCCTGGCCCTCTGCTTACAGATGGCTTCATCCCATACCATCTGTTAACCTGAGTGGCTCCAAGCTCTTGGAATGGTTTAGAGAGAAATAAAACATCTTAAAAATATTTTTAAAACATTCTCTCACTCTGTCTCATCCTAAATTATTGATGGGAAGAGTCTTAAGAAAACATATAAATCTAACTATCCTTGGATACTCATGGTCTTGACCAGTATTTAGAAATGTCTACTTCTTGGGAGCCTCCAGAGCAAGAACCCATGGTTTTCCTGCCTTACAACCAGCAAATCCTTCATTCCAAAGTAATGGGATTCTCAATTTCTTCTTTTAATTCCACCAATTTTCTCCAGTCACAGCCTCGTGGATTGCCCTCAACAAGTCACCACATATTGTTCTGCCTAGGGATATGGCTCCTCCTCGATCACCCCCAAACAGACACATGCAGTCACAGGTAAACACAGTTGCAGGCACACATACACAGTCACATGTATTTACAATTGAAGGCCCACACAGCCAAAGGTGCACACAGCCACAGACACACACAGCCACAGGTACACACAGCCACAGATACACACACAGTCACAGGTACCCACAGCCACAGATACACCTTCAGTCACAGCCACACACAGCCACACACTCAGTCACAATACAGTTGCAAGCACTCACACAGCACAGTTGCACACATAGCGACAGGCATACTCCTATGTCATCTTGATCACTCGGCATCAGCTCAGGTCTCTCCAGAACCCACTCTGTCAAGTACACTTGGCACAGTCACTCATGAATGCTGGACCACCAGAAAAGGCTTCCCTTGCAGTTAGAGCAGTTTTGTCTTGCTCACTTTTCACCTCGGAGTGCCCTTCCCCTCTCTATCGTGGTCACACTGGCGAGCAGTGATAATGAAACCCTTTGGCCTTTGGTTTCCAAACAGTGTTTATTTTGACATGCTTTCCGATCCCCTAACTCAGGTGTCCATCACACTCTGTCAACCCCAGCTTGCTGGGCTGCCCTGTCACCCCTCTGACACTTCAATAAAGACACACAATGACGAATTCTCCCAGGTCAGTGTGCAGACCTAGCTCTACAGGCTTGTGCCTGCCCCGCACTGGCCATGATTCCAGCTCTTCCTTTGAAAATGGGCACCAGGGACCCCATCCAATATCAGACAAAAGATATCAGACACCCGAGAGTCCTGCAGGATGTTTGGGGTACTATTACCTACATGGGGTGCAAGCCTGGAGTTGGGTTCTGGTTGAAAGATTAACTTAGTGCTCCCATCCTTAGGTTTGGTTTCTGGCGAGACCTGGTCTCATTCATTAGCTCACAGCTTTGTTCCTGGGACTGTGCCAAAGCCATGGAAGGCTACTGTTGAGTTTGGACTGTAGAGTACAGATTACCCCCAAGTGGAGGGACCTGGGGAGATGTCTGGGCCTCTCAGACATCTTGCTGGGTTGAGAGGAGCGTTTAAAGAGACTAAAGATAAGGTGGCTCTCTAAGACTGCTCTGATCAGCCTATGTCTCTGTATCTCGATGTCAAGCCAGCCCATGCCCCATGAACAGGGCCAACACTTCCCAAATGTGCCTAGGAAGGGCTACAGAGGGTAGCTGCTCTTTTCTTTAGCTGACAGTCCATGACTGGAGCCAGAGGGTAAGGCTAGGCACACTCTAGGGAAATGCTGAGCTGAAGTCTCCACAGCCCACATCAAGTATCCCCTGCAATTACTTTCCACCTTACCTTCTGAGACAGGATCTGTCACTGAACCTGTAGCTCATCAATTTGGTGAAACTGGCTTCTCAGTGAACCTCAGAGATTTTCCTGTAAGTACCTCCCAGTGCTGACATTACATGCCTGGCTTTTCATTTGGGTATCGGGGACTGAACTCAGCTCTCCACCCTTACCCAGCAAGCACTTTACCTAGTGAGCAATCTCCCCAGCCCTGTGATTCTGTTTTGACGGCTTAGACTAACTGGAATGTTCTGCCACATGTGTTTGTTATCAAGGAGACCCCAGGTGATGCTCTTCTCTACACACTGATGACCGCCGGCCCTTTGTTGGTTCAGAAAGACATTAACAATCACTTGTGTGGGGTTAGACTGGGCTGAACAACCCTGGGGATCTGTGAAAATGATGCTGGTGGATCTGCAGAGCTCATTAATCCAGGGTTCCTAAGACGAGGTGGCCCTAGGGTTAGCAAGCACTCTGAACCCAATGACAGGTGTCCTTATAAGAAAAAGGCCGGGTGATTTTACCTAAGGTCATGTGACAATGGAGCCAGCTCCTGGGAAAGTGAGGCCACAGGCTGAAGAAACTAGAATCGCGGGGCTGGAAGAACAGGAGGGGAAACTTCTTTCTGAACCTTTGTGGGGCCGTGAGGCTCTGGGGTTGCCTGGGAGAACCGTGAGGAGAGAGAAAGCACCGGGCTTGTGATAGCATTATATAGGGAAGCAGTACAAGCTTCCTACCTCCAATGGGCATGATGGATGATGCCACACCCTTAACTGGACCGCCCCACAAGACAGCTCCTACACTCTGCTCCACATTCCTGCTTCCTGACCAGTCTCCTGCATATGCCCAATACGCAGCCAGAAAGGCACACCCACCTTTCCAGAAAAAGAGTCCCTGGTCTCCAAAGGGAACTTCCTACAAAGACTAATGAGAATGGCTTCCTTGCTGGAGGAGAACTGTTAGCAATTAGCCGTTTCCATTTGTTTCACCTGTGACTGATGTCAACCTTTTGCCCATAGACAGCCACGACCATTAGCCCCAACCGCTTCATTGGCAGAGTCCAATCAGGGATGTTCCCGGAGCTCCACGCCACATGAAGGAAAACCCTAGAACCAAATCCTGATGGGAACACGTGAAGACGGGGCACATGGTGACAAGTAAGAAAGAGCCAGGCAGTAGGGGCCATGGCTCCTACATGGGGCCACTTTAATGTGGGACTCCTCTGACTAAAGCTCCTCCGCTTCCACGGCCCTGAGATCTGGGTTCCCAACAATGAGACGCAAGTCTCTCAAGGAATGGGAAAAGGCATGCCCTGAGGATGCCATCAATACTGTCTATATGAAGGTCCACTGAGAAAGCATAGTCACACAGCATCCTGTGGCCTTGTATGGAAGGCCTTTCTCCTATTAATATACACAAGCAAACCCACGTGTCGCTCTGAGATTCCTCCACAGAGGGTATCACCCAGCACAGTAGAACAAAGAGATATAGACGAAGGTGAGCGCCATGGGCAATGGAGAAAGAAGAGCTGAGTTCCTTCATCCTTCCCCTTGAGATCCTTTAGCAAAAACAACATTTTGCCATCTGCAGCTGGCCATCCAGCAGGGAGACTGAATACCTACATTGGGTTGACTCTGGGCCACAGAACGGTATGTCTCATCTTCCTGTCTACATGGAGGGAAGATTTGGGGGTCAGGGTAAGGTAGGAGAGGGGTGGAGCAAGTGCCATTTGCCTGTAGGAGGTGCTGGAGCTGTACAGAGATGGAGGAGTAATTGCCCCGCATGGGTCCTAAGGACAAAGCCCAGGGTCAGCCCTTGAGCCAACCAGTCAACAACCAGATGCAAAGATGTGGTAATTGAGATGTTACTGGCCAGATGGGCCCCACAGCCTCTCACAGGCGACTCCATTCTTCCCAGTCAAGCCCTCTGCAAACAAGACCAAGGCTGGAGTCATCACTGCTGGGAGAAAGGGAGGAGACATGGTGGCTCAGAAAGTTCACTGGCTTGTACTGGCTGCTCAGGGACAGGAGCTTGAAACATCGCTTTTCCAGGAAGCAGCCTCTGTGAGTTCAGGCTGCATTTCTCTCTGGGCCCGGCCCTCAATGCTGCCCCGGTAAGCTTTGGACATGTGTCTCTCATAGAACCATCATACCTGCCCAGGGCTCTGACGCCAACCACAGCCCTTACTGCCCCCTCCCTGGAACCTTACAATGATAGCATTGTGCAAGGAACTGAGCTCTCTTCCTGTCTACGGATGGGGGGAGGCGGGGGGAGGTCTCTCAGTGAACACATTTCCCGATCATTCCCCCCAGACCCCAAGGGAACCCTTACAGGGCCTGTTGTCTCCAGGCCCAAGGATGTGTTTGCACGGCCCAGACTGGCATCTTGACGTCTTACCCGATGGCATTCCCACAGATTGGGGCTGATTGTCTCACAGATAAAAACCTCATCATGTCCCTTCATACATGTGACCCCTCTGGATCTGACCTGATACCAGTCCATTTACTCCTGTCCCGACATAAACGCTAGGGCCTTTGCTCTCCTTGCCTGGATTGGCCGCCAGGGAAAGTCTCACCTGCCACTTCTGATGAAACCTTCCCAAGGGTCCCTCGGGGCTCCAACCCCTCAAGTCGGTGTGGGGGACAGCTTCTTCTTGGCAACCAGGGTGGCTTGCACAGTCGTTTGGCTCTCTGCCAGAAGCTTCCTTCATATCTGTGGGGCAGAGCAGTACATCAGGTCGAAAAGCATGTGCCAGGAAAGCCAGAGACACCGGGGCTGGAAGTGAAGTAGCTGATCCGTTCCTCACCCACCCACCCCCATCACCTCTCCTGGTCCCCCCTCCCCCCAACTCACCTTCTAACCCCAGAATGTGAGGATGGAAATAGCCCACCCACAGGCTGTGCAGGGACGAAGCGAGATGGGTTTGATGTTTTGTTTTGAAACAAGCTCTCATGGAGCCCAGTCTGGCCTTGAACTTCCTACATAGCTGAGGAGGTACTACCTCAACCTTCTGAGTGCTGGAATCACAGGACCACAGTGCCTAGTTTACGTGATGCCCAGGCTGGAGCAGAGGACTTCACGCATGTGAGCAAGGCACTCACTCTGCCCACGTAAGGCACATCCCCAGCCTGAAATCGTGTTTAGGTGCTACTCATACTGCAGAGGACCAGCTTAGGGAAGCAATGTTGCAGGTGGATACTGATGTTAGATTCAGGTCCTTAGCTTCTTGCTAAACAGATCACTGCACAGAACTTTGTGCAAAAGTGGAAATGTAACCATATTAGGGCTGCCGCCCCCGTGGGGCTACCGAGCATGTAAACTACCATTGTGTTAAGAGCCACCATAGGCGGTGTTGGCAGCCTGCGTCTTGGGGTCTGCAAAGATTCCCTATCATCTGATCTAGTGGTCCCTGAAACAAAATGTCACTCACTCACAACCCAGAGGGAAGAAATCCGAAGGATGGAGAAAGAGAAAAGCCTGGGAGTCCGCTCGCATTAATTAATTGTCCCCGGGACTTTGTACTATTGCCCTTTGTCAAGCAGGCCACCGATCTAGCAGTACTCTGCTAATGCCACTGTACCTCTTCCTTAGGGTGTAGGTTCACGATGTTCTACTGGCAGGCAGGTAGGGCCTGAGTGGATCAGCTGTCACGTCTACCACCCATATCTGGCAGGTAAGCAAACTGAGATAAAGGCTCACTGCCATATGCCTTAAACTGGTTTGAAAGCTCTTTGCACTGTTTGCAAATGCTTGTGGGAGCCTCCTCCCTGTGCAGGCTTCAGCTCCCAAGCACTCGACTCCCATGGAGTTGCACGGACTTTCTGGAGAGGGGGTGACGCTTCCTTTGAGCTTCTGCCAACACCGGACCTGCTCACAGGGGCTGAGTGCAGCATTTTAAATAAGGGCTGAGGGATAGGGCACCCTCTCCAATGTTACCCTTTTCTAGCACCAACAATAAGAAAGCGGCCTTTTGTTCATCCTTCATGTGTCTACATTTGGAAAAAAGCTTTACTTCCCTGGCTGGATCAGGAGTTGTCTGTCACCCCTGGGGGTTGGGGTAGAGGTACCCTGAAGCCCCTTTCCCATTTGTCAAGACCACACATTCCCTGAAGAGCCATCGGCGGGAGGGCAGGCTGCTAGTTCACGCATCGCAACCCCCACCCCAGCCCCCTGGAGTTGATATGAAAGCACACAGACAAAGGAAGGAAGGAAAGTAAGGCTTACTGGGAGCAGGCTGCCAGTAAGTGTGCAGGGTCACCTTTGCCCCCAAGACCACGGGTAACTGCTGCTGGCTTGCAAACATGAAGAATAGCACCTAACCTGAACCCTGGGGACGTCATTCAATCAAAGTTGCTATGGGGCCTGTCAGGACAGGTCCTGGCCCCGAGGCAGTCTTACCAAAGTGGAGTCTGGATGCTGTCATTCTTGAGGAGAGCCTGCAAGACCCCCGGTGCTATTGTGGGCTGGGCTGTGCCTACCTCTCTCTGTTCCTCTCAGAGGGGTCTGTGTGTAGACCCCCACCCCCCACCCCAAGCAGCTGCATTCGGAACTAGCCTGGTTGGGTAGTTCTTCATCTCCTGCCATTCAGGGACCCCCAAGGCATGCCAGACGCTGTGAGGCAACGTCTAAGTTTTCTACTTCTGGGTCAGCAGGGACTCAGGAAACCACCCATGTCCCCTCTGCCCCCTTTGGTAGATGGGGTGGTGTGGGGTGAGGCTGTTCAGTGACACTCGCTCTAAGTGAGTACAGTTCCCACTCTAGAGGCCCAGGGGCGCGGGCTGAGGCTAGACTCATCCCGGCATATCTCCATTCCCCTTTCCCTGCCCTCATAGCCTTCCTGTTCTCTTAGGAGGTCACCCTCCTCCGTCGCAAACCCTCAAACCCTCCCCTCAAGCACCTCTTTCTACAGTGCCCCATCCGGGGGTTGGCGGTGAGTGGCCTCCTCCTCTAAATGCTTACTTAGGTTTGAAGGGTTTCAAGCTCTCATGTGACTGATACTAAGTACGTGTGAACCCAGTACGTGAGGTTGGCTCTGTCCCTTCTCATTTTCTGTGTCCTCAAGGCTGAGTTTAAGATCAACTCAGTTTTCCAAGCCCATGTCGACACTGAGCTGGTCCATTTCCTCACTTAGGCTTTTCAAAAGAAGCTCCTCAGAACTCGAACTTTGAACTAGACTCCTAGGCTCTGAGCAAGCTTCTTCTCTATTTTTTGTGTATATCTTGATACCTTTGTTCCTTGGTCTCATGCAGACCAGTCATGGTGAGCATTTCTCGCCCAGGCCAGGCCAGCAGGAATTCTGGAACACTGCTAGGTTAAGGTCTTGATCTCGGGGGCCTTCGGTTTGGCCTGGAGGCCCTTGGTTCACTCAGGAAAAGGGAGGGTTGAGGTTGTTGCTGTGAATCATGACAATGGTTGAAACGGATCAAGCCCTGGATCAAGCCCTGCTTACTCTAAACATCTCTGTGTGTTCAGACAGCTGAGAACGGCCAGCTGGGTGTACAGGCCAGCCTCGCATGTGCTCACACAGGCAAAGACCCCCCCCCCACCCCATGCTGCCATTTGTGTCTCCCAGCTCTTCTCACAGCCCCAAGGACATAGCAAAGCAAAGGTTAAAGCTGAGAGTTGTCTGGGACCATGCTTAAAGCTCTGGTCCTGTGGGTGACCAGCCACAGGGTCTCAGACACATGTGCAGCAGGGGCCACGTGAGTTCAGGACCACTACCTACCTGCCTGTATCTCTGCACCTCACAGACTCCTCTTTCTGAATAAATCGCATCATAACTGAAGAACAGCCCATACACAAGGAAGACCCTCAGGGAGAGAACCCTGTCCTCAGTGCCTGGGGTGAGCCACACTCCTCCAGTGATGACTGTGCCCTTTAAGACTACCCTTCTCCCACACAGCCTCACTCTCTTCCCTCACTTGGGCTTGCTGGAAGCTTCCTCAGCCAAAGCTCTGTGCACTTCATGCTTGTACACAGCCACAAATTAATCAATAAAGCCTAATTCCATGGTCCAGTGCTTGCGGCGGGCCTGGCACAGATGGATTCTGAGAACTTTGTGACTATCTAGGCCTCAAGTTAACATGGAAGCAATTAGGCATGCAAGCACGAAGTGTTTTCATTTCTACACTCAAGACGGACTCCGTGGTTTTGACTCCCTATCCTTTAACATGTGTAGCCTCATTAATGAAACAGCCATTTCCATTATGGCTCTGAGGGAGGGCGGGGGGAGGGAGAATACAGAATAGAAATCCCAATATGAGCTTCAAGTATAAACAAGAAGCTAAAAATAGCAAACAGATGAGGGACCCTCTATTTATATACAGGTCTGCGAGGTTTTTTTGTAAATTCCACATGTTTTAGACTTTTCCAATAAAATAAATCTCTACATGTGAAATATGCATGAGCAATATATAAACATATACCTGGCTTCAGAAATATAATCATACCTACAACAAATGAAAATCACATTTGATCCATGCTCCTGGTTGTCTGCATCACAAGAATCAGACCAAATTCTCATATATATATATATATATATATATATATATATATATATATATATATATATATATTTACGTATGTGAGAAAAATATCAGAGGAAGTCTTCCTATGCTCGTGCCATTGGGAGATTGAAAGTTAGGGAAGACTTCTTTGACAAGACCAACAACAGGTAGCTGCAGAAGACAAGGAACCCTTGTGGATATATCAAAACCTGCAAATTCTCACACGTCCCAGCTCTCAGGAGCTCATGCAGGAGGATCGAAGCTTGAGACTGGCTTGGACAGATCAGCAAAAGCACAGCTTAAAAAATAGTAAGAATTTCTTCTTCTTCTCCTCCTCCTCCTCTTCCTCCTTTCCTTTTTTGTTATTTTGAGACAGGATTTTTCTGTGTAACACCATGGCTGTCCTGGACTCTCTTTGTAGACAAGGCTGGCCTCAAACTCACAGAGATCCACCTGCCTTTCTCTGCCTTCTTGGTGCTGGGATTAAAGGTGTGCACCACCATGCCAGCAAAAAACATCTTCTTAATGTTAAGTCCCAGCAAATTAAATGAAAACCCTGACCTAGCACTTTAGTCCAGTCACTGCCCTTCTTACGCTGAAAATACAATTAAGTTGTTCTTTCTTAGTTTAATGATTTATTTTTATTTAATGTAAAGTAGTGTTTCACCTGTGAGTATGTCTGGATAAGGGGATCAGATTCCCTGGAACTGGAGTTACAGTTGTGAGCTGCCATGTGGGTGCTGGGAATTAAACCTGGGTCCTCTGGAAGAGCAGCCAATGTTCTTAAGCACTGCGCCATCTCTCCAGCCCCAATTAAGTTGTTCTTAGAAATTAAATATATTTAAATGTATTGATAAATTCACAAGAAAGAAAATCTGGATGGGTAAGATTGTTTTCATCTTGATAGTTTTGCCAGACCAGGTGGATTCTGTATGTGTCCCCTTGCTCAGGTGGGACAGGACCATCGTGGAAGTCTCTGCTGCTCTAGAGAGCTGAGGCCACAGCAGGCTATGCAGTCACCACACAGGTGACTGAGAAATGAGTGCTCCCAACCCTGGACCCTGCAGCACAGGGAAGGCAGAGAAATCCCTCCAGCCAATTTTATAAAGAGAAGAGACCTTCTTGACTCATAGAGACTGAGACCGGGAAGACCTCAGTGCCAAGAACTTCACTTCGCCTGGAATCTGACAGGTGTTAGCAGAAGCA